TCTTATCATAATGCTCAAAGAAGTGTATATATATATAATACCTAGTGAATGAACTAATAATTACCTACACATTAAATGCTTGGATTGTGCAAATCTATTTATTTAATTGATTTGACCTAAAGCTTTGCACTTTGCTCCATAAAGTATCATTATTTTACTTTATGGAGCAACACACCACATCATGGAGCAAAGTTGATTTGACAACACTCAAAGAGGTCTAGGGAATAGCTGTCAAGGGAGCCCCAATCCGGCCCAGCGAAGTCAGGCCCAAAACCGGCCCAAAGAAGGCTTGTGAAATAGGCGAGAACACTGTTCACATATGCATCTTAGCATTGTATGTAGGAGGACATAGTAAAATCTATAAAATGACTATAGACCTTAAGTCCATAGAAAATATTGTCCAAAGGTGAAAGCTATTTAGAGACGTTTTATTTCGAGACATTTTTTATTTCAAGGTTAGGTCCGGTAAAAACTTACTGTATTTTAAATGTCAACGGATAATATCGCCTCCAATTGAAAGATGTATGGTACGTTGTTCATAGAATTGGTGATTCGTACCTTCTAACCAAAAGTCAACAAAAAATTGAGGAGTGGGGAATTTACCATAGGGATAGGGTGTATGAATAATTACTTTTACAAACAGAACATGTTCATTTTGAAGTAATATTACTCATTCTTAAATAACATAATACTCATTCTGAAATAATATAATATTCATTCTCAAATAATATATTCTCACACATTTCTTCAATACAATTAATGAAGTAGTGTTTATTCTAAAATAAAGTAGTACTCTTTTTCAAATATCTAAGTGTTAATTCTCCAGCAAAATAGAATTAATGCAAAGACTTAGCAGCCTAGTTTTGTTTCATCTCCTGCTCACCAAAGCACTAATCTCAGCCGGATAGTGGCAGCTGACGGCGCGCCTCCCCTTCGTCATTGGTGCGCTTCTCCTTCGTTGAACAGTGGATCTTCTTCTTCGATCCGACTAATCTTTGTCGGCCTCCCATTCATCGTTGGTGCGCCTCTTCCTTTGATCCAATTGCAAGTTGTACCGTATAATTTGTGCTTTTTAATGTTTTATAAAATTAGTAAAAAGTTTTTCATTTATTTTATTCTCTATCTTACTATATACAATGCTTGGATCTCATTTTGTACAGTGTTCCCGCCAAAATGGCAGCCTGCTTCCATGGGCCGAAAATGGGGTTGGGCTGTAGCGGGCTGGACATCTGGGCTCTGACAAATCATACTGGGCCTATGAATTAGGTTTAGTCGACTGCCCCAATGCTGAATTCTCATGTCAGTCTATAAAAGTGGTGCTGCCCCTATGCTGAATTGTCATGTCACTCTTTTGGTGGCTCCATAAACCAAATCTTTTATAATCCAATGAATTATTACACTTACACACGCTGTAATAATGGGTTTCAATCCACTTGCACCATTACACTTACACTCTGTATATATATAGAGGGCACAAGCTTTGCATAATGTACAAGTCAGTGCTAGAAAGTAAAACAAATCTATTACAATCCAGAATACTAGAGTGCGAACCATGTTTGCTCCAGTTACTGCTCTAAACAACACTAAAAAACCTGGATTCTCATGTTAAGGGCTGTGCGCGTTTACTTTGTTCCGAGGTGGGCTAAAGGCGGGGATTCCATGGAGATCATATTTCACGATGAACATGTATTGTATTCCTCAAATTTTGTATTTCATTTTTGAATTATTATTATTAGATTTAAAGTTTTATTCTCAATATCTAACTTGCTTTTTTTAAATAGGGAACGAGGATTCACGCTCATCTCAACCGACCCGGAAAAAAAAATTTGAAAATCAAATCACCGAGGGGGGTGTTTTTGTCATTCGAAATGTTTTTGTTCATGATAACTACCAGAGTTTAAAAACTACTCCAAATGAAAATCACGAAATATTAATGCAGATGTGATTGGAAAGATAGTGGCTCGAACAAGTGTTCAAACAAACTCAAGAAGAGGCTCTGAACAGAAATTGATGGAAGTCACCTTAGAAGATCATGAGTATGAATTAACAATAACAAAAATTCACATAATATACATAAATGGCACATTCGAATTATCTCTATTACGCAATCTTACAGGGGAAATCGTTTGGGTTGCACGCTATGGGGAGAATACGTGGACCGATTCATGGATTGTTTGACCCAAAACAACCAAGAACCGGTTATCATGCTTTTGAGCTTTTGCCGCCCGCGGCGCAATATGGGTACGCAACGTACTTTTTGTATTCATAAATACGTTATTTGGACATGAACGAAATAGGCCTCTGTTTGCCCATTTTTTGCAGGGACTGTTACTGTCTCTACTGCATTTCACGTTACCAAGATGATTTTCGATGGTAATTCTCCCGAGGTTGAAGATTTTAGAGCAAGGTATATTATATCTGTCTAAATATTGAATAATTAATGTCTATAAGAAAAATCTACTTTTGTAACGTATGGTAACTTTTTCACACAGGTTGCCTCCACAAGTCGATGAGGGAATGGGAAGCATTGTTTTAAGCGGTGGAGATTCCGGGGACCAAGGTGTAATCAAACCAACCACTATCAAAGATCTTTTGGACAACATGAAGGTAAATAAAATGTTTTTAATATTATAATACCCGCACAAATGATATCGTCTTTTATTTAAAACAATAATATACTATTTTTTTGGACAGCCTGGGCCTTATTGGATTCTCGGAGAGATTGCATCACTAAATGATTCAAGTGATTGGTGTTACTTGGGTTGTACTGAGTGCAACAAAAAGGTCATTCCGGATGGTGATAAGTTCAAGTGTTCGGGTTGTGGAGTTATTATACCGCATGGGGTTTATAGGTAAACAATCATACATATAAAAAATAACACAACATATATTCATGTTATCAATTGACTAGAAGAAATAACCACGCTTCAATCTTTATTTAATAGGTACAAGGTCAGTGTTCGAGTCTATGATCACACCGGGCATGCTTCATTCATACTTTGGGACCGAGAGTGTAAAGAAGTCTTGGGTGCAAGTGCGTTTGTATTGAGGGAGATTATGCTTGAGGTTTGGAAACACATTTTTTCGAATTTTTTTATTCCTATGAAGTCAGTGTATTCGCTAATTGACAAACTAATTGTATTGTTATTCTCAATTTTCCAGAAGAACATGGACCCAAACTTCCTACCGCTTGAACTTAATCGCTTCCTTGGTCGTAAGGGTTTATTCCATGTATTGTTGAAGGCCGATGTTGGAAGTCCAAGTTGGACTGGACCGAGAACTTTCGGGGTGAGATCTTTGGTTACCGATCCAAAGATCTTGAGCAAGTATGAACATTTTGTTGTGATTGAAGATGAAGAAGCTGACAAAGAAAGCGAAGGTCTATGGGCATCTCTTGAGAATTTGAGTCAAAAAGTGCATGAAGTGGTATACTAAATAAATAATTAATTCTTTCCTTAAGCCACATTATTTTTATGGAGGAGCTAATTCTTTCTTTTTCATATAGATTGGTTCCAATAATCCAAGCTCTAGCCAAAGTGTCAACACCAAGCAAAGAAGGATTTCCGATCTCGACGAGAGTGAATCGTTGAAAAGGGAGCTCTTTGATGAAATCTCAACAAGTGCAAGCAAGAAAATGAAGAAGGAAACTACTAAAGACTGAACTTCCGAACCATTGGGGTTGAAAATCAATGTTTTTTGTTTCTTTGAACACCCTATCTGTTTTGTGTTGTTGTGTGTTTTGTTTTGATAAAATTGTGGTCGGTTTACTTTCGGGGTTATCAACATTTTTTGGATATTGTGATTGGTTGTAACCTCCGACACTTATTTTATTTGAAGTTTTTGTCCGTCATAACTGAAATCTTGCACTATAAATTTCTAAATTACATACAAGTAATCGTTTGATTTTGATATCATGGGCTTAATACTAATTCAATGTCATTGCTCGAATAATTATACGGCATGTATATCAACCTATATTAGAAATAAACAACCCTAACTGTATATATTAAACTGCCATGTTGAAAAATAATTGCACACTTCCAAACGGTATAGCAAAGTATAAACTATTTATATATATATATATATATATATATATATATATACACATACATATACAGCCACGTATTAACAGTTTATTAAAAAATTAAAACACGCAAAATGACGGCAGATTGGGATTTAAACATTGTCATTTATTACATTGAAATATGTATTGGGCGTGTGGCTCAAGGTCAGTGGCTCAAGGTGAATGATTACATTTTCACAATGTAACTTGATTGTAAGACTCCATACGCACTGCCCATAATCATTGAGTTAGATGTAACTTAAAACCATTAACAAATATCATTTTGTACCATTCTTTAAATGTATTAAAAGTGATCCAAAAATAATTTTACACTACCATTCCTTATGCTTTAAAAATAATATGAATTTTTAGAGTTAAATTAAAAGTCGTTGAGTGGGATTTGGTATCGTCCAACTATGATGTTGCTTGAATTTTTAAAAATCGGGAACGATTTTTAAGTATGGGCTCGCATTCATATGGAGTCGTGATTCACTATTGGGCCTAGCAATATGTCGTCAACGTGGTTATTTGGTTGTCCATGGAAATGGACAGCCCATACCTACACGAGCACGCCAACATGGATATGGCCCTAAATATTTGACTCCAAACTACTTATAAAATTTTATTCTAACTCAATAAGCAAAACATTTGGGGAACTCAACTCTTATGAAAAAGTTAAAACAATACATAATGTAGTAAAAAATTAACTTTATTATTTTTGTTAAATTAAGGTCGTCGACTAATATATAGATTCCAAATTTTTGTAAAGATATATATGTATAATTTTTGTGTGTGTGCGTGTGAGGACAGCCATTTGGTAATTACATACCATGTAGTTCTTTGCATTAAATGCACATATACATATACCGGAGTATATCTTTAAAAAATATTGCCCAGGCCTAGATATGTATAGGCTAATTAAGTACTTTGCATTAAA